CAATGGTCTTCATGCAATTTCTGAATCATTGTTTTTCATGATTTTTGGACAATAGTTTTATTGTATATTTAGGTGATTTGCTTACATACCCGAGAATCCAGCTCTCTACACTGAGCATCTGAAGTTGGGATTATGAGTTCTAGAATGAGGAGTGACAAAGCAATAGAATAAATAAAAATATCACCACCCTCTTCCTGTTATCCTCTGTCAGAAAGAAGAGGGGTAGAATGTCCAGAAAGGGGGTTGAAGGTTAGAGAGAGATTTCAGCTGAAGGAGAAATGGAAACTCCCCTTCCCCCTCTTAATGTCAGGCAGGAGAAAGGAAGGATAGAGGGAACTGAAGGGAGGGTGATATCTTCTCAGCTTCACTTGAAAAAGAAATAACATGGAAGGATACCCACCAGCCTTCCACAATCAGGAGAGGGGGGAGAAGTGACTGATACTCACATCTCGGAGGGGAAGAAAACAGGCAAAGAATATCAAAAAGAAGTCACTATGTGCTTCATTGATTATAGAAAGGCCTTGGATTGTGTCAACTACAACAATCTCTAGAAAGTGCTCAGAAAAATGGAATCCCAGAACACCTCATTGTCCATAAGAGAAACTTATATTCAGGTCAGGGAACCACAGTATGCAGAACATGGTGAAACAGACTAACTGCAGATTGGCAAAAGAATGAGACAAGGCTGTGTACTCTCCCCTTATTTATTCATTCTATATGATGAATATACTGTATATTAAGGGAAGCTGGATTGGAGGAAGATGAGCATGGTTTTAAAACTGGAGGAAGAAACATCAATAACCTGCGCTATGCTGATGACACTACTCGGATAGCCGAAAATGCAAAGGATCTGCAAGGCCTAGTGTTAAAATTCTCAGAGCACAGTGAAAAAAATGCGACTAAAATTAAATATAAAGAAGACCAAACTAATGACAACAGGTAGAACAATATAAAGAAGACCAAACTAATGACAACAGGTAGAACAACCAGCCTTGACAATGAAGATATTGATGGATAGCTTTTGCCTTTTAGGATCAACCACCAACATTAAAGGAACAAATAGTCAAGCAATACACTGCAGACTAACTCTTGATAAAGCAAACATGAAGGCCTTGGAAAAGATATTCAAATGCCATGATGTGTCTATGCCTACAAAGATAAGAATTATACAAGCCATGGTATTCCCTGTGACACTCTATGGAAGCGCAAGTTGGACTTTGATGAAGCAAGATATGAAGAGTATTGATGCTTTTGAACTTTGGTGTTGGAGAAGACTCCTGACAATACTGTGGACAGCCAAGGAAACAAACAAATGGATCATCAAACAAATCAATTCAGAGCTTTCACTAGAGGCACAAATGACCAGGCTCTAAATATCCTACGTCAAACATATTATGCACAGACCTAGCTCTCTGGACAAGTCTGAAATGCTGGGGAAGGTAGAAAGAAAGAGAAGAGGGTGACCAGCAGCAAGGTGGATGGACTCAGCTACAGTGATGATGTGTGCACCATTGGAAGAGCTGAAGGACCAGGTCGGGGACAGAACATCATGGAGAAAATCTAGCTATCTGGTCACTAAGAGTCAACAATAACTTGATAGCACGTAACCATCATCAATATAAGGGCTGAAGCTGGTAAAGAAGAAACCAGCAGTTCTTACAGACCATTACATACACTGTGCTGGTATCTCTCAATCTCTAAGTCAGGAAAAGAATGACCAATTTTCCTTTGACTCAAAAAGGAGGTAGGAAAAAGCCTAGAATTTAATATGTGTTCTGCTATATGCAGATTTTCTGGTTTTTATTTGCCTTCAATAATGTTATGTCTATGAGCTTCTGCTGCAAACAAATTCCAGAACATAAGATAAAATATATGAACAGCTGAGATGTACTGTTGTGCCTAGCATGAATTCTGACACCTTCCTTTAAGTTGCCATGAACATTTCAAAATGTATTTTGTTTGTTTTATATCTTGCCATTCCTCCAGGAGTATAATGTAGCATGTATTGTCCCATCTCTGTCATAAAACTAACATAGCATGATAGGTTGGGCTTGATATAACTTGGCTCCAAAACACTCTTTGAATTTCCCTGGTTGAGTATGGGCTTCAACTCAAATCTCCCTGGTAATAGCCTAGCATCTTATATCAAACTAGTCTATCAAATTATTTTAAGCAATTATTAAGAAATACAGTACTAAGAAATGTCTAAATGTTGCCCAATAAGTACCACCAGCAAAAGAAAAATAAAAGAGGCTTTCAGGAAATTAAATAATGACAGTCAAGGATCTTCGGCAGTCTTTGGTGATTCTTGTTTCCTGGTAAACCGTGCCAAGTGAGTGAGTGAAATCCAAGTCTTGATTATATTAAATGGTACCCCTGGGCCATTACTCATCATTACCTCTCCTAACTTTTGTGTAGAAAATGTCCCTTTAAAGATTTATAGGTATACAGCTGTATTTCTGATAGACAGCACGATTTCTTCATGTTGAAAGAAATTGACTTCATGAGTAAAAATAGTCATTCAAACAGCTACACTCACTCTATAACCTGCTTGCAAGTTAGGTTCTTCTTGGTCCTGTCCTTACAAAGTCAACAAGAAAAACCTGATCAGAAAGTTCCCTTCCCCTCAGCTCCTGAAGGAAAAAAATAAAAAATAAAAACAAAACTACAGTGATGATCAATTCTGAGATAATGCTGTTAAAAAGAAGGAATGTGTTTTAATTAGGGCAATATACATGATTGAGCATCACTGTAGCAGTCTTCTTTGTATCTTCTTTTATTCATTAATTGATTGATTGGTCATATTTATATAGCCACCCTTCTCACACAAAATGACTCTGGATAGCATACAATAATTAAGAAAACAACAAATATATAAAAACGATCATTATAAAAAGATAAAAAGTAATTATTAAAATGGAAATATATCAAAAAGTTTAAAATGTATAAACCCCACAGAGAGCAGAATATCAGTCACAGTGGAGCCATCTGAAAATGTCTCCGGTTCCCAAAGACCCCCAGGCCTGATGACATAACCAGGTCTTGAGGGACTTCCTAAAAGACAGCTGAGAAGGGGCGAGCCTCACTTCAGGGAGAAGAATGTTCCACAAGGGACATCCTTGCTTCTTTTCTACTTTCTTTGAATTCCAATATTTTAAAAATAAACATAAAGATTAAAAAATGATTGCGCATCCCATATTTAGTCCTGCAGATTATTAAGTATCTGCAGGAAGATGCTGAATTTGTTTCTTCTCCTCATTCCTTATATACTGTATTTATACAGTATATCCCAAGTCACAGCCATTTTGGTCTGATTTTGTATTTAAAAAAAAAGAGAAGGCTCGAGGTTGAAAGGGAAGAATCATGAGCAGAAATGCTAGAGTTACAAGCACAATCACATGATAGAGACACACTTACTGCAGCATATGCTTTTGTAGCATTTACATCACTTGTCCAAGTGGTTGAATACTGTTATGCCTTATGGCAGAGTA